AAAAAAGGTGACACATTGCTTGATATCGCAATCGATAGGGCGTGGCTTCGTCGATCTTGGCACTCAATTTGATGAACGTGGCTTTAAAGGGCGAAACGTGGGAGATTTTTAAGTTTGAGTTCATTGCAAATGGAGCATTTGGTGCTTTGGAAAATTTCAAGCTCGCCTTGCATCCACACCAAACGAGGCGCCAATTTGCCTGATATCGCAATCGATAGGGCGTGGCTTGGGCCATCAGGGCGCAAAGTTTCACGAAAATCGCCCAACGGGCGCGAGCCCGGCGAATTTTTAAACCGAGTCGAAGCCATACGACCCACCTCGCACTTTGGACACCGTGGGGCCTTCTGAGCTCGACCCCAGCCCCTGGGGGGCGTGGCTTACCCGAGAATGAGGGCGAGGTCCGGCGTAACCAAGGGCGGCCCAAAGAAGAAAAACTCCACCTCCGGCTGTCCATCCGCCGGCCCAATGAAGTTCCAGAAGCTGATGGTCTGCTGGCCGAGACTGGGAGTGAGGGGGCGCAAGTTCTGCGTCCACAGCCTCACATTCTCCTCCAGCGACTCGTTGTAGAAGGTGCGGTTGGTCCTGGAACAGCCTCAAATTTTAGGGGTGGGCTCCGCCCACTGGGCCCCAAGGGCCACCCACCTGTAGAAGATCCCAGGGAAGAACTGGTGGTCCTGCATGTTCTGCCCTACGGGCAGCTCCAGCTCCTGGGCGATCTGGTGCTTCTGAAGCTCCTGGGCGGGCCCGATGCCCGACAGCATCAGAATCTGAGGCGAATTAACCGCGCCGGCCGACAGGATCACCTCGCGTCTGGCGGTGGCCACGCACTCTTTGCCGTCTTTCACGTAGCGGACGCCCTGAGCTGTTTTCTCCTGGATCAGGATCTGAGTCACCAATGAGCGGATGCTCACGCTCAGATTGGAGCGGTTGCGGGCCGGATTGATGAAGGCGTGGTTCGAACTGGATCGGGTGTTGCCGTCGAGGAAAAACTGCAGTCGACTCACTCCATCCTGGTCCTTCCCGTTGTAGTCCTTCTCAGTCTTGCCCAGGTCGATGTGGACGTCGACCAGCGCCTGCGTCTGAACCCGCCCACTTTTCCCCCACTCTTCCACCTCAACTACCACTTACCAGCAGGGGCGTGTCATTGGGGATGCCAGTTTTCTGAGGCCCCTCAAATCCATGATAGTCCCGATCAATGGTGTGGGTGAAGGTGGCCGTTTCCGGTTTCTTGAAGTAGGGCAGGACGTCCCTGTAGGCCCACCCGGGGTTCCCCAGCGCCGCCCATGTGTTGAAGTCGTCATGGTGACCGCGCACGTACATGCCAAAGTTGATGGCGCTGCTGCCGCCCAGCATCTTGCCCCTGGGGTAGGGGCAGCGTCTGTCCTTGGACCCTGGGGAGTGGGGGCGGGTTAAGGGGCGACCCTAGGGCGGGGCGGCTTACCAAGGCACATGTGCGCCTGGGGCGTGGTGTTGTATCCCCAGTTGTATTGGGTGCGGTGCAGGTAGATGTTGACGCCCAACATGTCGGATAGTTCGGGCGTCTCGCCGCCCGCCTCCAGCGCCAGCACGGTGAAGTTCTCCACTTCGGTCAGGCGATTGGCCAGGACGCCGCCCGCGCTGCCCGTGCCCACGATTATGAAGTCGAATTCGCCGTCTTCTGCAATTTTCCGGACACTCATGGACAGTTTAGTGCATAACGTTTGCAGCGCTTGGTGCACCTCAACAGGGTTACGTTGGCTGGAAGGGCGGCCGTTTTATCTACATTTTGCCGTTTAAATTTTTTAAATCGGGTCAAAACCCGGCGAGCTATGGGCCGGTCGCCCTTTTTAGTGTTTCGGGTTTTTTTTGAAATTTTTTTCCCAATTTGCGTCTTCAAGCTCATTAGCATCAGAAACATGTGGTTATTTTTGGATTTTCAATCAAAGGACATTTGAGGGCATAACGTCGCTATGACATTTGCGATCTGAAGCAGCTGAAGCTTATTGGAGAGGGGGCAAGTTCATCTATATTTCGCCGTTTGGAATTTTCAAATCGGGTAAAAAACCGCGGAGTTATGGACTGGACGCCCTTTTTTGAGATAATCCTTTCTAAATTTCCTCCTCATTTTTGACTCAATTGAGTCTTTAACGTCACCACAGATCAGACTCACGACTTTTTAAAAAAATTCTGTTTCATAAAATAACGCTTTAATACATAACTTGGCTGTCGTTTATTTAATTGAAACCAGCTTGAGTTCTGGGGAAAGCAGGCAACTTTATCCACATTTTGGCGTTCGAAATTTTGAAATCGGATGAACAATCGGCGAGATATGGCATGGTCGCCCTTTTTTACGTAGAGTTTTTTTTTAATTTTGAAGTTTTTTTTCAATTTCGAGTTTGCAAGATTATTTAGGATCGGAAACAAAACTTTTTGTTGGCAATTTTTCGCTTTTATTATAAAGGACATTTTCATTCATAACTGTGAAACCGGCGGTTCGACATGGATCAGCTTAACTTTATTGGAAAGCAGGTTATTTTTGCCACATTCGGCAATTGGAAATTTTTCAATCAGGTGAAAAACAAGCGCGCTATTAGCAGGTCGCCCTTTTTTCAACTTGAATTTTGCGAATTTTTCTACTCATAGACTTTTCCAGCATATTTAGCATGACAAACGCCATTTTTTAAAGAAACATTTTTTGCTTTTCAGTCAAGGGCAGTTTCATGCATAACTTTTTTGCCCTTCAGAAATTTTCAACTCAATTTGAGATCAAGAGCTTATTTAGGATCAAAAAACAGTTTTTTGGAAAATTATTTGCACAATTTAGTGCATAACCGCAGAGTTATGGGGCGGTCGCCCTTGATCGAGATTCGAGGTTTTGAAATTTTCAGCCAATTTCCATTTTCGAACTTATTTAGAAGCAAAAAAAATTTTCTGAAATGTTAATAGTTGAAAAAATTTGCCGCGCCCAACTTGAAAGGCCGTATAGTTGTCTAAAAGGTGCCTTCAAAAATTTTCAACATCGGCTCAAAATCAGAGGCGCCATAAAGAAAATAAAACTGCCGCCCTTTGGGAGCCATTTGGCCTCTATTGCCTTCATCGGCAAGTTTCTCCGCCATTTACCACCCGATTTTCGATCGAAAAACTGCATTTTACGGAGAACTAAATCAGCTTCAATCAGCCGCAAAAACCGTTTAAATCGCGTGTCTAACAATCGAGCCACTGGCTAAACCATTAGCGCCCCTTGGACCCCCTGCCCATGTCAGGTCTGAGTATTATCGACCAAATCTCGCTTAATTGATGGCGGATTTTCTAGATTTAAAAACCCCGTTCAAGAGCAGAAGCTGCGCTTCAAAACACTTTGAAAGGGTTTTTGGATAGCATTAGCCCTAGAGCGTCTAGAAGAAAAATAACACGGCCGCCCTTTGGAAAGCTTCCCAAATAGTACGTTTTGGCTCATAACTCCGCTATGGCTGATCCGATTTTCACAAAACAAACTTCATGGGAAACTCGACAAAAGCCTGAACATTTTCCATACAGAAAATTTCAAATTCCACCGAGACAACAAAAGGGAAACACTGAAAAACTCGCACAACTTCACTTACCACATGGTTCATCCGAGTACTGATTCTTCTGGTAAAACCGCTCATTATTCACTGGAAACGTGTAACCTCTAGCCTCCTCCATCAGTTTTTCCACCTTCCTGGTGAGCTCCTGGTAGTCTTCCCGACCTGTCACCATCGAACCCACTCCCAACAAAAGGGCGACTAAAGTTGGTAGCTGCATATTGAACGCTGTTTAACACCCAGCACTGAAACCGACGAATTTATACCCATCATCAGGCCCATTAACCGAAATTGTCTGTCAGTTTAACAGTAATGGATAGCTGATAAGAGCGGGAAAAAATCGGGCGGCCATTTTAGAGCCCTTCTGGGGCTCACAGCTGAAGAATGGGGCGCCCAGCAATCAAGATCAGCAAACGCACATCAAGTGCGTGCCCTAATTTCTTCGGTGCGTAGATTTAATCGAGCTAATCAGCCTGATTGATGACGTTGCCACATGAGTTATTGCCCAATTAGCGGGCGGTTAATGCACTTTTTATGGTTAAAGCCATAAAACAAACGAGCAGCACTAATGGATGCCCTTGCTTAGCTGATAGTCACGCGCAACGTGTGGAGAAAACACGCCATTTCAGGTTTTGGCCACCTGGGCCGTTATCGCGTCATTAGCGCCCCTGTGGCCTTTCTAATTCGCGTCGCATGCAAAAACTGAAACGGTCCTCTGAAAGCCCTTGAAATTTTGAACAATTTAGTCGAAAACACTTTTGCGATCCGGCCACTAATAAGGCGGCTAGGCGAGTAATAAGAGGGCCGCCCTTCACTTGCACAACCCCCCGTCGGTTTTCTGAGCAGTTTTGTTCAATTGGGGCTAAAACGCTTTAGAAAAACTACTCAGGAAGCATAATAAAATGCCGCCCTTATCCAAAACCAGCCCTCCAATAGTCCCTGGTAGGTATTTCGACAATTTTTTTTATTTACCTGCCCCTTTTCAAGCACAATAAAACGGCCGCCCTTTAGTAGCGTCAAATTGTTTGACTAATTGGGGGTTTCCGGACTGTTAGTTCCTGCTAAAATCACTGAATAGGAGAATTTCGTTCCCAACCTAAGGGAATTTTCAAGATCCAGGTCTAATTCAAGAAGCGAAAGCCATCGGGCGATTAATAAAAACGGCGCCCTCAAAATGGTCAAGCGCCCACAAGGTTTTTATACAGCTTTGTCGAATTTTGCCCAATAAAATATTTAAAAAACGACTCAATAAGCTCAATAAGAAAACCGCCCTTTACTGAAACCAGTTTACTACTAGTATATTTTACGTGTTTCAACCCCATTTGCGTCCAATAGCCAAAAAAATAGTGGTTTGCTAAATTGGGCGACTTAATTAGGCGATTCCTCGGTTAGTTCTGACGAGATTTTCCAAATTCTGCCCCCATTTGAAAGGAAATTTTGTTCTCTCAAAATGACGTCCCGACAATGTTAGGGTCAGCTCAAAAACAACGGCGCTATCAACGTAATAAAACAGTCGCCTTTTAAGGCACAACCTGCTTCGACTGAGTTTATCGGCGAGTTGCGCCGATGTTTCTCGGGCGATTTTTGAGCAAAAAGCTGCGTTTTGTCGACAATTAAATTGGCTTCAACCTGTGGAAAACCGCAGGAAAATCGCTTAACCAGTAGCGAAGCTACTGGCTAAATCACTAGCGGCCTTGTGGGCCCACGCGCATGTCAAGCCCTGCTACCATCGGCAGTAGTTCGCCCAATTTGCGCGCTATTTCCAAAATTCCAAAAGCCCCTAAGAGCCAAGATTTGGCGCTTCAAAAAACGTTTAAAAAGTTTTTGGGTGCGGGCGACGCGCGGGCGGCTATGAGCAAAATAAAACGGCCGCCCTTTCAAAAACTTCCGAAATTCCCAGTTTCTCCTGGGCAAATCAACCGCTAAACCCACCCGCTGCTTTTCCCCAACCATTTCTGAGGTTATGTCTGCCCATGGGTGATAAATGGGCGCTTTTCGCGGGCCGCCACTGGCGAAAAATGACAAACGCTATCAAAACTGAAAGGGGACGGGCGGCTCTAATCCGCGCCGCCATCGCACGACATATTTGGTGTCTTCTGGAATAATAGATATTTTTTGCACCGTCGACTAGATCGCGGCGCCCTACCGGAGCCTCCCTCGCAAAACAAGCGTCAGATTTTCCAGATAATATTTCTTGTGCGCTCGCATTTTTACAAGCCATCATCGGCGCTTTTGTCGAAATGAACAGAAACAACATATCAAAGCAGGCAAAAACCGGTTCTTTTGTGCGGCCGTTGCAGCGCGACCATTTTAATGACGGCAATTAGGGCGGCTGTTTTATTGGGGATGCACGTCGATCTGCATTGGCATTTCCCTCATTCTCTGGTCTCTAACGTTCACATTTTCCACCCGATTTTTGCTGTTCAAACGGCGTTTTAAAGAGGATTTGATGGCCTTGAATTTTTGAGGTTACAGTTTTTGCCCTCCGGGCCTTAGTAGGGGGGCTAGAGCCTCCTTAATGTGGCCTCATGCCAGAAACGCCCGGTGATTGCCACTTGGGGCTCTGTGGCCCCCAACTCCCGTCCGGGACTTGCTAGGGGAAAAACTCAAAAAGCCCTCAAAAGCTCTTGTCCGTGGCTTTCTTTGAGTGCTTTAGAGTTTTTTCGGTGGGAGCCTCCAAATGCGGGTGGGGAGCAGCCGAAGTTGGCCCTATGTGAAACTGGTCCCTTGCCCAGGGGCCCACAGTCTTTTGGCCATTTCTCCATTGCTATTGGGCGGAATTGAAAAATTCCAAAACTGTTTTAAAGCCCCATCAAGTAGCGTTGATTCGGGGGGTTTAAGGGTTTTTGCAAAAAATCACCCAGGGCGCAGCCAGAGTCAAATTGAAGCAGCTGCAAGCGGGCGAGCCTGATTCATCCAAGGGACAAAGTCTTTTGGCCACTACGTCTCTGTTGCCCAGCCGATTTTGAACGCGAGCGCCTCTATCGAAAGAGCTTTTCACTGGCTTGGTTCCACTGTGGAACGATTTTTCAATTAAACAGCTAATAACGAGGCGAGGCGCAAATGAACAGAGCTGAAAGCGTTTAGCACCAACTCAATGGTGACTCACCTTCATTTGCCCATAACTCAGTCATTTCACCGGGGATTCTAAAACTCGAAACAACGTTTTGACGAGGGTTTGCTCAGATTGGTTTGACTGTAAACAAGTGTTTGCATCTGAAGTCAAATTAGGCGACTAGATCAGAAAGAAAATYCTCAGAATTTTTCAGGAGCAATCTCACACTGACYCACTTTCTTTTGCGCATAACTCGATTAATCCTTGGAGGATTTGAAAAATTTGCATTGCCCTGTATAGAGAKTTTTCACGGCTTCGATCGACTCCTGAAGGACTTTTCCGGTGGAAAACAAATAAGGCGGCTAGAACAAGAAGAAAATCCTGAACATTTTTCAGGCGCAATCCAACACTAACCCACTTTCTTTTGCGCATAACTCCATTAATCCCAGAACGATTTGAAAAATTTCAATTGCCCTGTATAGAGATTTTCCACGGCTTCGATCGACTCCTGAAGGACTTTTCCGGTGGAAAACAAATAAGGCAGCTGGAACAAAAAGAAAATCCTGGAAATTTTTCAGGCGCAATCCTACACTGACTCACTTTCTTTTGCGCATAACTCCATTAATCCTTAAACGATTTCAAAAATTTCAATTGCCCTGTATAGAGATTTTTCACAGCTTTGATCGACTTCTGAAGGAGTTTTCCCGTAGATACGAAATAAGGCGGCTAGACCAAGAAGAAAATCCTCAACATTTTCCAGGACCGGTTTCGCGCTAACTCAGTTTCTCTGGCCAATAACTCAACCAATTATTAAACGATTTGAAAAATTTCAATTGCCCTGTATAGAGATTTTTCACGGCTTCAATCGACTCCTGAAGAACGTTTCCGGTTTAAAACAAATAAGGTGGCCAGAACAAGAAAAAATCCTGAAAATTTTTCAGGCGCAATCCCACACTGACTCACTTTCGTTTGCGCATAACTCGATTAATCCTTGAAGGTTTTGAAAAATTTTAATTGCTCTGTATAGAGATTTGTCACGGCTGTAATCGACTTCTGAAGGAGTTTTCCCGTGGATGCGAAATAAGGCGGCCAGAACAAGAAGAAAATCCTGAAAATTTTCCAGGACCGATTTCGCGCTAACATCAGTTTCTCTGGCCAATAACTCGACTAATTTCCCAGATATTTTGAAAATTTAAATTGCGTGTTAAAGACAGTTTCAGCAAGCTAGTTTTTGGATAAACAACCGATTCTACCGGAAGTCAAATAAAGCGGCTGGAACAAAACGAATATCCTGAAAAGTTTTCAGGCGCAATCCAACACTAACCCACTTTCTTTTGCGCATAACTCAATCAATCCTTGAACGATTTGAAAATTTTCAATGGGCCTGTATAGAGATTTTGAACTTCTTCAATCCACTCCTGAAGGACTTTTCCGGTAGAACCCAAATAAGGTGGCCAGAACAAAAAGAAAATCCTGAACATTTCCCAGCACCAATTTTACGCCAACTCAGCTTCTCAACCCCATAACGCAGCCAATTTCCGCGCGATTGCAAAAATTCAAACTACCCCTGAAAGGGCGTGGCCCCAGCATTGTTTAAGGGTAAACCAGTTTTTCCGAAAAAATCCCTCAAGCAGCCACAGGCAATTAAACAGGCCGAAAGAAACTGGGTCCAATCGCACGCCACCTCCAGACTCTTTCGCTCACAACTCCCGCAATTTTCCACCGATCGGCAAAAAAAAACCCGCCCTGGAAAGCCAATGAAATTCCCCATCTTCGGCTATAAAAAACACTTACACGAAAAAATCGCGCTTCACTCACGGCAATCAAACACAACTGGTTGCGCTCCATGGGCAGATCCGCCTCTTAAATCGAGGCGAAGGTGTTCGACAACCGATAATCGGAAATCCGAATTGCAAAGGAAAAAACCTCACACGATCAGCCATCAATTAGCTAATCATTAAACCGATCAACTCGCTGAAGGAATCAATCATTAGCATTGTAGATTAATTAATCACATTCATTAACATGGCGCGATTGTTTTCACGTTTTCTTTGCATGGCGTGCAAGAAACGCGTTTCGCCCTGTGCAATCAGCTGCAGGAAAATGCATTTTACATAATCAAATCGGCCGATTACGGCGTGATCGCGTTATGATCGAATCAAGTGCGTCTTCATCAACCGGAAATTCCTGTTCGAATTCACGCGCCAATCATCCGGTGCAAACCGCTCGGGTGACCGCCACGCCCACCCGATCTGGACCCTGCTGACTTTTTCCGAATCCCCGATCAATGCTGCGCAAGCCCGCCCCAAAAAACCCCCAAAAAACTGCAAAACTGGGGGGCAGAAACACGTTTTTTCGAAACCCCTGTGAGAGAATCTTCAGGTTTTCTGGCTGCAAAAAATCCTGTTTAAAAATCCCCGCCTGGAACGGACAAAGTGAGACGTCGCCCCCCTCAAGAGAAGCCCGGATGCGTTTCCAATTCGCCCCCAGTTASGAAAATTACATTATTTATCCTCGTACGGTGACAAATTGGAAAGTCGGAGAAACGGTTTTGTTTGGCGAGGCGCAACAAAAACTATCAGCAACTGAYAAAAGAGCCGCCAATTGGGGCGCGGAAAAATCACCGAGTCTGGATGGAGTGTGGAGGGTTTTTGGGGCCCGAMGGGCCCCAATTTTCSCCCAAAATTCGCCCCCAGAGCGAATTTCTTGGGGGGTCTGGACCTGGAAATGAGTGGGGGGGCCTTAAAAAGGGCCTCAGCCCCAAAGGGGGAGAGGTAGAAAAAACCGGGCTGCTGGGGCTAAAAGGGGCACCCTTCGTCTATCCATGGGCAGCGTTGCCCAGCTTGGGCAGCAAAGCCTGATTTTTGGGGATTTTTTCAACGTAACCTTGCCCGAACAGGCAGGACCATATGGAAAAAATTCTCACTGGAAAACTGCGTCAAGCAGGCCAGAGGCTGATGGGGGGCTCGACAGAGCAGGCCTGTCCCGACAAACTGGAAACAATTCAAGCATTTTGCGTCCAGGGCTGATTTTTGGGGAATTTTTTCAACACAGAGCCTGAAAAAAGCGAAGGAAAATTTTCACTTTTTTGGAAAAATTCCTGAGTAAAATTGGAGTCCGGCCGAAATAAGGGGGCTAGTGCCCCTCAAAGGGGCGGCTGTCTTCTACCAAGGGGCAACACATGGAAACTGTAGCCCTAAAGCCTGATTTTTGGGGATTTTTGCCACATAAGCTTACCCGAACATGCAGGGCAATATTCAAAAAATTCTCCCGGATAAACTAGGTTAAGTAGACCAGCGTATAAAAGGGCGTTAGAAAGAGGAAGGTTTTCCCAAAAACTTGCAAAACACCCGAAAATTTTCCGTCCTGGGTTGATTTTTGGCGAATTTTTTCAAAGCTGCGTCTGAAAAACGCGAAGGCCAATTTTCAATTTTTTGAAAAAATTCCTGCCTTAAATCCAGTGGAGTTAGGAAAAAATTGGTTAGTTTTCCCTAAAGCGGAGATCTTTTGCCAAAAACACGAAAATTTTTAAAGATTTGGCTCTGAATCCTGATTTTTGGGGAATTTTTTCAACACAGCCTAAAAAAAGCGAAGGAAAATTTTCACTTTTTTGGAAAAATTCCTGAGTAAAATTGGAGTCCGGCTGAAATAAGGGGGCTAGTGCCCCTCAAAGGGGCGGCTGTCGTCTACCAAGGGGCAACATATGGAAAATGTAGCTCTAAAGCCTGATTTTTGGGGATTTTTGCAACATAACCTTACCCGAACATGCAGGTCAATATTCAGAAAATTATCCCGGATAAACTAGGTCAAGTAGACCAGCGTATAAAAGGGCGTTAGAAAGAGGAAGGTTTTCCCAAAAACTTGCAAAACACCCAAAAACTTTCCGTCCTGGGTTGATTTTTGGGGAATTTTTTCAAAGCTGCGTGTGAAAAACGCGAAGGCCAATTTTCAATTTTTTGAAAAAATTCCTGCCTTAAAACCAGTGGAGTTAGGAAAAAATGGGTTAGTTTTCCCTAAAGCGGAGATCTTTTGCCAAAAAACGCAAACATTTTCAAAAATTCGGCTCTAAAGCCTGATTTTTGGTGATTTCTTCAACATAACTTTGTCCAAGCGTGCAGGCCAATATTACAAAAATTCTCGCTAGGAAACTGGGCTAGATAGACCAGAGGCTTGTAGGGGGCTGGAAAGAGGAGGCTTCGTACAATCATGTGCAAAACAGTTGAAAATTTTCCTTCCAGCGCTGATTTTTGGGGAAATTTTTCTAAACGGCGCCTAAAAAACGCAACGGCAAATTTTCGCTTTTTTTTGAAAAATTCCTGTATATAAAACCAGATACGCTAGAAAAAAGCCAGCGACTGCACCTGAAAGGGGCAACTCTCGCCTACAAACCCGAAAAATATCAAATCTTTGGGTCAAAAGCCGGATTTTTGGGGAATTTTTCAACATTGTCGTGCCCACCCATGCACGCCAAACTCTAAAAAATCCTCACCAATAAACTGAGTGTGCCAGAGCAAAAGGGGCTTTTGCAGCCAGTAGAGCTGATCGTTGCCTAAACAACTGGAAAAATTCGAAAAAAATTAACTTCAGGTTTGAGTTTTTGGGATTTTTGTTCCAGACGACGTCACCAAAACAAGCAAACAAATTTTCAATTTTTCCGAAATTTCCACTTACAAACTGGACAAGCCAGCAAAACGAGGCTCAGGATTCGGGTAGAGCAAAGTGTTTTCTATAAACGCTGGCAAAAAGTTAAAACCGCTTTGCTGACGCTAATTTTTGGGAATTTTTGTAAAAAAAATGGCGCAAAACCAGCAGGACAAGTTTAAAAAATTTATTGCTCAAAAAGGACTAGAGCTATGGTAAAGCGGTTAAAAGGATCTGATAGAGCGAAAAATGCTCTAGGCGGGCTAATTTGTTGTCAAGTGTGCCTTCAAAGCGCAATTTTTGAGAATTTTTTGAAAACCATGTCCCCAAAACACGCAGGATAATTTTCAACATTTCTCAAAAAATTCGCTAGTTACAAATGAAGCTGCGTAGAGAAATCAGCAGCTCAATTCTGATAGAGCAGCATTTTGCCTCCAGGGGGCAAAAAGTTGCCAAACAATGGCGGAAAAATGGATTTTTGAGAATTTTTCCAAAGTTTGGTGCCAAAAATGTGAAAATCGTGCAACAAAACCCCCAAAAAAAATCGATTTTTCAACAACAGAACCGGATTGAGCAAAGGGCACGCTGTGCTCTATATGAGTGAAAAATTTGGAGAACCTCTGTGCAAAGGGAACTTTTTGGGAATTTTTTGAAAATTTTTGAAAAACGACGACACCCGAWCACRAAACCCCAGTTTGAAAAATTCCGTRCTTCTAAACCGCTAGGGCTAAACTAGAGCGGCTGGCAGGCCCGGATAGGGCAGAGTGTGCCCTAGGGACGCCCAAAATTTGGAAATTTTCCCTAAAGAGGGGCAATTTTGGGGATTTTTTTAAAGGGACGACTCCCAACCAGCCAGGCCCACCTAAAAAAAAAACATTTCTCTTAACCCGCAGAGGGTGGAGCCCTGCCGATTTAAAGCTCAAATAGGGCACACCAGCCCCTTTTCGCGGGGCAAATTTCAAAAAATTTACTCCAAAGGGCGATTTTTGACTGATTTTTGAAACCGACGGCTCCCAAAAATCTCTCGCTAAAACCATCAAACTTTCACTGATCATTTGCGGCAAATCCGCTCTAGATAGGGCAAGGGGGCTCACACTGGCAGAAAGGGCAGGCCCTGCTCTATTTAGGGCCAAAATTTCAGAAAATCCCCTGCAAAGCCTGATTTTTGGCAATTTTTTCCAGTCGGGGGCCCCCCAAGCGCGCAGGCCAACTTCAAAAATGCGTATCTCCCAAACGGGGCCAGCTAGAGCCGAGCGCTCAAAAGCCCCCGATAGAGCAGCTCAGCCGCTAAATAGAGCCGGACTCCTTTGTCTCCTTGCGGGGCATTTTCCCCCCGCAAACAGCAGCGAAACATCGATACGGCCGGCGAAGAACGAAGACAAATCGCCCATTAGACTAAAACGTTGCCGTATCGGGAAAATTGCCGTTAAACTGTCGCTGTTTGCAGAATCAATGGTCCACTTCATCTATTTACCACCAGTCTGGAAGTTCTCCGGCTCCCCCTCGGTCCAGGCCAGCAGGAGAATCGATGGAGAGCGTCACACATGCGACAAGCTTGAAGAAATCTTGGGGAAAAACCCGGTTTTTTCCTAGTTGGGCGGGTGCTGGCCCAAACCAGGCCCACCACAGTGTTGCCGCTTTGTCCAGCTATCCGGCAATCTGGGAAAAGTTGGGATCATTGCGGCATAAGGCAGGAAAAGCAGCAACTAAGCGCGGTTTTACGACATCGAAATCGAGCCAGTATTTTATTGTTTTGGCCGCCAGATTGGATCGGAAAGTTTCCCCAATCGGGGGGAAAATCAGTGGGCGGCCCAAGGGGCGACCGCCCCCCCGCCGACCGTCTGGCAACGCAGAATTATGGAAGTGTTTGGCAATTTATTGTTTTATTTGCAAATTGATACATTCGCCCGGATTTATGGGGTAAATTCGAAACTCCCGAGGCGGCAAGAGGACGGAAAACAGGGGCTTGATCCACTTATTTTTAAGCGAAAAAATATCCTTCGGTTTGATAGAGTCGCCCCTTTATCTGGAGTGGGCGGCGTTGCCAACCGTCTTGGAAAAAGCCCCATAACTTTTTTCCTGCTGGCTAGTTTCCGACCAGATTTTGACCGTCGATAGCCCTAAAACAGCTCTATCCTAGAGTGCAAGAACCATTTTGCAGCCTCCAGTGGTTTGGGAGCAATCGATGCTTGAAGTTGGGCTTACTTGCCCAGGCTCACTTGGGGTTTGGGAGCCA